GGAAGGAGGGGGAGCCGCCTGCCAAGAAGCACAAGGCTTAGGCCCGGCTGGACCCAGACATCCTTCCTCCTCCAGAAGCACAAGGAATGGTATTTTTGGAAGGCCTTGTGGATGGTGTTGAGATTCTCGGAGCCTCTTAGGTGTTGATCAAATGCTCTAGGTTGTTTTCTCTGTTCTCAGTATTTTGTTAAAGGCTGGTGTTTGTCTTTAAAGGTTTTGGCTTTGTCTTGTGCTGATCGGAGAGGATGTAACTTGCTGGCCTCCCTCCAGCCACTCACTTGTGCCAAGCACGGATAAAGCCCTAAGAAGCATCTCAGCCTGCCAGGGAGGAGTCGCTGCTGCCTCCTGACAGTGCTCATAGTTCATGTCTCCTCTTTTCTTTTCTTTTCCCTTTTACTTTGGTATCAAACTGGTACCTCTTTTCTGTTTAATTCCACATTGGTTCTGTACAAACTCCTTTCTAAAGCTCTCGCCCTCAGCTGTCTGTGGTACTGAGGAGCACACACTTAGCACCAGGAGGAAACCCCAGAGTCATCCCGCGCTGCACTATGTGCATCCCTGGCCTGAACCCAGGAGCTGTGTGAGGGGAGCCCGGGGGGAGCTGGGCTTTGCCTGGGCTTCCCTGCAGCCCCCAGCCTGGGGCAGCGCCTCTGGGTCACGTTGTTTGTACAATCATTTGTTAATGGGATTTGAGGACTCGGAGCGGATTTTCCTGGTCTGTGGAGGGATGATGCTCTGGCTCACACAGGGCACGCAGTAAAGCCCAGCTCACCAAAGTGCTGCTACGGAATAGTGCCAGGCGCTTGGTTTTGAGGTCAGGGATTTTGTTCACAGCCAGATGTTACAGACCAAAGGCCTTACATGGCGGGACCCTTAGTGAAAAGCACTGATTCACTCTTGTTGGAAGCAATAAGATGAAATTTAGTGGTTTACTGCACAATACTCTTGTCTGTGTGTGTGTATCCCTTGCCCACCCCAGCCCTGTTCTGCAGGCAGAGCTCATCTCTTCTCCCTATCTACTGAGGGGGAGGCCAGGTACCCACTGCTGAGATCTCAGGGTACCAGCAGGGCCCTGTTGCTGGAGCCTTTCCATTTGCCAGTGGAAAATATTCCCTGGGGATTTATTCTGGGGCTCATCTTGCATGATCTGTCCCTGGGGAGCTGCAGGGGTGACTGTAGCTGGGGCTCATCCTTGGGGAGGGACAGCAGAGTGGGGCAGAGCTGCAGGACGGGTACTCAGGGAGCCTTGAGTGCTCTTGGAGCCAAATCTGTCCCTGAATCCCTCGTGAGCCCAGAAGGTCTCCTGGTTTATGGGAAATTGGGGTGGGATTAGGATTTCCAGCCAGAAAGCCTGTTGCTGGCTGGCTCCTCAGCACTCCCACGGTGACTTGAGGCAAGAGTCGCTGCATTAGCAGCTCCTGGCACAGTAAAGAGGTTTTCAGGTGCTTGGGGCTGTCACCTCCATGCCTGGCCTTGCAGCAGCCCCAGGGCAGATTTCCCTCCCTGCCCAGCCATCACTCCTGCGGGATGTGCAACTCAGCTGCCCCAGCCTGGTCAGTGGTAGCTGCCGTTCAGGCTTTTCTGAAGGTCATCGGCTCATCTCAAATTCATTCCAGGTCTTCAGTTGCTGTGGAGGGAGAGAAGATGCTGAGCACGAGTGGGGGACACTCATCTGATCCACTCCGGGGAACATAACCCTTCCCCTGGGGAGGCAGAGGCAATGAAGAGACTCAGGGTACAGATTATCTTGCTCCAGGCTCTGAGAACCAGCAGCAGGCTCAACCAAACTCTGAGCACCAGCAGCAGCGTCACCAAAAAGAACCCCCACGCTGAGGGTTTAATGAGGAGGTGTCATTGCTGAGCTACAGCACCTTTAAACTGGAGCCTGGCTGCTCACCCAACGCTCTTTGCAGTGGTTGTTCCTAGCTGGTGAGGAGATGACAGCAGCAGCCTGGCGTGACCTGGCACCAAAACTGGCTGGGGAGCAGCTTTTCCCTTTGATGGATGATGCTCTGGCAGGGAGGGCATCGCTCACTGCCGGCGGGGGGGATGTTCCGAGGGGGGACGT